CCCCAAAACCCCAAAACCCCTTTTATCTGAAATAGTTATGAAATCAAGAGTTAATAAAATAAATCAAATATCCTTTCATAATATTAATTGATTAGTCCAAATGTTTTCATCTTCTTCTATTTTTTGGAGTAGATTTATAAGATAAGTCAGCATTTTTTTCTCCACTACTAAAGTCACTTATATATTCACTATCGTAGTAGCTACTTGGATCAACTTGAGATTTATTTTGAGCAATTTTTTTCTTCTAACTTTATTGATTAATCCTACTTTATGCGGACTCCTTTTTCTTTTAATCGATTAATTGACTAATTGGTTTTGATGGCTAAGCAATTGCACTCTTTATTGTTTACTTATTGTCGGATGATGGAGTATCAAATCTTACTGATGGTTGAAGCAAACCTCTTGAAGTTAGCATTTCTCCATTATCATTTAAAGTATCAAAATCTCTAACTGTATTAATAGTAAGTGGCTTAATCTATACCTTCTTAGTCTATTCTGTAGGTAAGATGGGCAATTAATTTGGCTTGGATCTAGCCACACTTTTACATTTTACAATCTAAGTAACTTTGCTAAATATTACAAAACAGGCATTCACTCCAACCATAAAGACAATAATCATTTGAAATTGTTTAGCATACTGTCTGAAGTCAGTAATTTGTATTAAAGTTTTAGGAATGAACATGTGAGCCTGCATGTAAATTACAAATACTGCCATCTCATTAAATATCAATTGAGCATTCAATAGTCTCACTTCAAACGGCATAACTAATAGCACTGCTGTGAGATTGAGCAAGTTTATTATCAAATATCCTGTTAGTTAAGCCTAGGTATCAAAAGAAACTGCTAATAAGGAAACGACTAAGAGCTTAAACATCAAAATACTTGGGTAGAATAGAGATACTGGGTAAAATGAGGGATCCATCGAATATTCTTGAAATAAAACATTTCCTCTGAAATAGGTGAGGTCTCTCATTTATTCATTAGACAGTGGTGGATCTCTTCTTTTTAGTAATTTTACTTCTCTGTAGAATTTAAATGCCTGAAAAGCTGTATATAAGATATAGACCCAGCATAAAGCTCCGAAACCCATAGCCATCAAAGATGAAACAGTTGAGGAGTTAGATTCAAAATTTAGATTCCTCATATTTAAATGAGAGTTAAAAGCTATTTTACAGTATGCGAAGCTTATATATCCTGGTAGCATAGAAGATTTGACTCTTTGCAAAGAGTTGTTTAGTGACTTGTTTTCTTCAAAACCCATTCTTATTATTTCTGCTATCATGCTAAAGACGAAGAAATAAACTAAGATAGTCAGGACATCTGCTGAATTGTCAAGAAAGGCAGTGGACTAAAAGCCCATCTTTTCAAATGTATAGCTTTGAGTTGGGTTATACTTAGATATCTCTGTCTGATTCGTCACACCTCCGAAGCATAAATAGGCGATTTGCCTACTCTGGGGCATCGCTGCATTGAGATTTAGAATATAGTTGTCAGACTTGATGGAACATAGAGGTTAGACACTGGAAATAGGAAGACCTATTGAAGACCTTGCATCATAAGCCACACATCCATCATACTGTAGCCAAACATTGCTCCTACGAAGCCAACCCCGTAAGATGCATAGATCAATGAATATGTTAAGGTATCAACAAGTTCGGGTAAGCCTGTAGTGGCTCCTGCTATTGAAACATCATCTTAACCATAAGGATAAACAATGGCAGATGTATTAATCATCTTTGCTCTCTATAAGTATGATCTTATGTATTATCTGTCATTTATGTTTATCACAACTCTATCTATTTTGTTTTTGTTGCCAAAGAGTTGTTACTCACAGTCAAAATCTATAATTATTGACTTGAAGCCCTAGAATAGTGGGTTTTTGTATCTTGCAGCTTAAGTTACATTCCAAGTGAAAACATAGTTATTACGTCCTAGTGGACCGAACATCTCAAGTGACCAAGCATTAGTAAGATTCCATGATGATTGCATTAAAATAGTCTCATTGAAAACTAGAGTAATTTCTTTATTGTTCTTGGAAAAATATGCTTCAGTGATACTCGGATTAGAAAGTGTGAAACAAAAATCTGCTGAAGTTTTACTACCCCCAGCACATTTGTAACCATCTTCAATAGAGCAGTAAGCAGTACATCCATCTCCATCTTGATTATTTCCGTCATCACACTAAAACTTTCCATAATTAAGTCCATCACCGCAAATCTCAGAGCATAGATCTGGAGTGTAGAAGTTTCCTTAGGCACATTCAAATCCTGCTTCTATTGTGCAGTCCTTAGCACAGCCATCGCCACTTACGGTATTTCCATCATCACATTAGTAAATAAAAGTTCCCATATTCTTGCCATCACCACAGATTTCATAGCAAGTATCAGCTTTTGTTGCATTCCCTCCTTTGCAAGAAAATCCTTTCTCTACTTAACAATTTGAGGAGCAACCATCATTGTTTGCAACATTTCCATCATCGCATTGGTATATTCCTAAGTTCTTCCCATCTCCACATATCTCACTACATATATCTGGAGTAAATACTGTGCCACCTGTGCACTACCAGCCTTGTTCAACTGCGCACTTTGATGAGCACCCATCTCCACTTATTAAATTTCCATCATCACACTCTAAATGATTTAACTTTCTACCATCACCACACGTCTCAATGCAAGTATCAGCCGTAGTTGGTGTACCTCCTGTACAAGTAAATCCAACTTCTCTGTGACAACATTCATCGCAGCCATCACCTGTTAGTATGTTTCCATCATCGCACATTTCTGCGAAAGTTCTTCTTCCATTACAAAACTATTTGCAGACACTCTTAGTATATGGATCACCTTTAGAGCATAAAAAGCCAAATTCGATAATGCAATTCTCGTCACAACCATCTCCATTATTGCTATTTCCATCATCACAAGCACTTGTCCCGAAATTCCTGCCATCCCCACATACTTCAGAGCAAGTATCTGGGCCTGTTGTTGTCCCTCCAGAACAAGCAAATCCGATTTCAATTGTACAGTCTGAGTGACAGCCATCACCGTTTATTAAATTTCCATCATCACACTGCCTAGCTCCAAAATTTAGCCCATCTCCACAGGTTTCTTAGCACTTATCTTTTGTGTATTTGCTTCCTCCTACACAATAATATCCAGACTCTATCTAACAAGTTGAGGAGCATCCATCTCCGTTTATATTATTTCCATCATCACACTAGTTAGCTACTAACTTAAAATTTCTCCCGTCTCCACATATCTCAGAGCAAGTGTCTTTAACAGCTGATGAACCTCCAGTGCAAGTGTATCCCACCTCTATTCTGCAATTTTGATCGCATCCATCATTGTTTACAGTGTTTCCATCATCACATCCATATTTAGCATAATCTTTTCCATCTCCACATATTTCTTAGCAAGTATCTTTAGAATTTACACTCCCTCCTGTGCAATTGTAGCCTGTATTAATAGTACAAGTAGGACTGCATCCATCGTTGTTTACAATATTGGTATCATCGCATTATTCACTGCCTACTCTCCTTCCATCGCCGCATGTTGAAGAGCATACAGAAGGACTTCCAGTAGTGCAAGTGAAGCCAGTTTCGATATTACATTAAGAGTCGCATCCATCTCCTCGTTTATTATTTCCATCATCACAAGCTTCAGTTGAGGCTTTAATTCCATTTCCACACTATGATCTGCATGTGTCAGCTTTATTAAAGCTTCCTCCGAAACATGAGAATCCGCTTTCTGTTGCGCATGTTGATGAGCAGCCATCCCCATTCTTTGTATTGGCGTCATCACAGCTTTCATAATCATCTTTTATTCCATCTCCACAGGTAGATGAGCATTTTTTAATGTAGTCAAAGACCCATGTTCCAGGTGTCTTAATGCAAGAGTAGCAGTTGTCATAGTAGGCTGCCCAACAAGTTCTGCAGCTTGCATAGCAATCAGTGCATCCATTTGTTGTAGAATTCACATATTGATTTGAATTACAGTCACTAATGCACTGTCCAGTTTCTAATGGGCACCTTACACAGGTGTTTCCATTGACGTTATTCGTACAGCCAGTTGTCTTAAAAGTTTTTGCCATGTCAAGCTCTTCCTTGGCATAATCGTATATCCAGAGACTTTTCATAAACCCTCTAAAGCCGTCTCCAATTTATGTTTTAGACGTGCCTGATTCAGCAAATACTGCATTTACTGTTGAGCAAGTCATAGCCACTGAATTGAACTTCAAACATATCTAAGATTAGGAGCCTGTAGTTTAAACAACATGAATTGCTACATATGACCATTAATTAAGAGTAACTGCACCTATCGTTAAAGTAGCAGTCTAGCCATTAATGACGAGCTACATCTAAGTGGCACTAGAGAACCTCCTAGCAATATAATCAGTATTAGTCGCAGATTCTTTTTCAAACAAATTCATTCCAGCTGCTGGTGCTGAAGTTGGTCTGATCCATGTTTCTATAGTAAAGGTATTTTTTTCAGCTGCTTGTGCTGTGGATCCTGTTGAGTAGAGATACTGATTCTAAGCTCCAAAAGTAGTATCAAAGAAAAGTCCTTAGTTGTGAGCATAAGCAGGGGTGAAAGCAAAATTGGAGTTAACTTGAAGATTAAAACCATAGCCACTTGTGTCTGAGTGAATCATCGTTACTGGATAAGTAGGTAGAATGAAATCATATTTTTGCAAATATTTGCTTTATTATTAGATACATTAATATGGAGCTGTCCCGACAGGCTAACAAATCTTGCAATATGATTGACAGTTTGTTGAGTATCCTGCTGCAGCTTGAGAAGCAGTCAAAACTGTTCCTGTATAATATCTTATCTGATTCATGATCCCAGTGAACTCATCAGTAATTCCATATCCTCCTAGGAACCCATTACTTGTAGTAGCTCCGACACATAAAAAAGCACCATTGCTAGGGTCATCATTAATTTAATCATTGAAAGTTGCAGTGTCAGTTGTCACCAAACCTGAGTCTGTTTGTACATAACATGCAATATTAGTATTACAAGCAGATAAAAATCCGCAAGTACCTGATTTTGTAAACGTTACAGTCACATGATTCCATCCCTCTATATTTTAATGAGTAAAACAAGGGATTAGTTTTACCAGCATATTGACATCCAGTCAAATCATTACTTTATACGTTACTTCCACTATTATAATTATTCCTATTCATTCTGGCTATCATACCTCCACCAGTATTAAATCCAATACAAAATCTTTCATTAACAGTTGCTCCTAATAAACCTCCATTTCTCTATCATAAAAATAGAATTAAATCAAGTCTATACTGAATTGTTTAGAGCACTTACATAAAATTTACAAAGGATCTAAGAATTAATATTTAGAACATTAATGTAAGTCCAGAATTCCACAGAAAAATTTACATCATTGTCTATTGTATTTCCATGAGGGGTATGCGTACATGAGAAATGATTCCCTTCATACTGAATACCATTTCCAATAAATCTTGAATTTGCACCCAGTCCCAATGTATTTGAATCTGTAAATATAGCTGGAGATCCTCCATTATACTAATTATTCACTGATGTTGCAGTATTTGGAGTGTCCAAAAGCCACTCTGCAGTTGGAGTCTAGCAGTTAGATAAGTTCAGTATATATAAAATCAGCAGAAGATATCCTTTTAGATTTATTGCCAAGGTATAAGTTAAGTCCTTTCTCATAAATCGAAAAAATATTCTTAGAATAATAATAAGTCCAGTAAAAAATTAAGCTTAACGTAAAATGAGATATCTCGATATTAAAATTTGAGAAGTATACCTTGATTAAATTTCTGATTTAATAAGAATTCTTTAGCACATTTATTAATTTATCTTATTATCATTTTTTAATATTTGGCAATCATGGGGTTTTGGGGTTTTGGGG